AATGGCATGTTGAGTTAAAGCACAGTGACAAGTAAATTATATTGTATTGATCAGTAGTATATAGACACACAAAATTATCATGGCTCATGACTGAAGCTTGAGAAGTATCACCATGATTATTTTTTCTCTTTTATAAAATCAACGGCTTGTTCTTCCTGTGTGCAGAGCACTGTGCTGGGGGTGTTAATGTCACAACAAATCTATGAAATGGGTACTGTTTTTAATCTCCATTTTATGGACAAGGAACCAGAGACTCAGAGAGGTTAAGTCACTTGCCTGAGGTCACACAGCTAACTCCAGAGCGTGTGCTTATAACCTTCCTTCTATCATGAGATTATTTCCAACTCAGATCTTCATTTTCACCTTGCCTGTCTACCTCCTGGGAAATGGGCCTTCAAGGGCTTTTTGTGGCCTATAAACGGCTAGGAGGACACAGCCTGAATTCACAAGCTGCTTTTACTTCCTCCCCGACTGATGCTGTGGGTGTGCTTTCTTGACTTTCTGCTTCGACTCAGCTTCCTTATTCCTATAGCTTTGCCTCAGCTCAGGCAGATTTCGGCCCACCTGTGAGCAAAGCCACACAGCCCAATCAGACCGACAAAGGCTATTTGAGGTTTTGACTTACAGGTTTAAAGATTTTTTGTTTCTGATCTGTGCTTCCTTCCTTTTTAGCTGCCTATGCCTGGAGTCTGACATTGAACTGAAGATTCTCCGCTGGGATGTGTCTGTCCTTCAGTCCTGGGGGTTGGGTGCTTACAGTGAAGACTCTGTTTTTGGGGTGGGTGTAGGGGACCTCAAGTGGCTTGCCACTGACTGGTGCTGCATTTGTGAGATGAAGGTTGTCATCATCTATAAACCCCTGTCATGTGGGGGACCCTCTGGGGAGGCTGAGGAGCAGGGAGGCAGCCAGGTGACACTCAGGTGTTCCCACTCAGATGCTCCCCTCTCTGGAGCCTGACAGACTTGGATTCCAATCCTGTCTCTCCCATTTTCTTGCTTTGTGACCTTGGACAAGTTACTTTTCTAAGCCTCAGTTGGTCATCTGGAAATCCTGAATAATAATAACTACCCCCTCATTGGCTCTCATGTGGTTTGAAAGACATGGTATGGAACAACCCACACAGTGCTTTGCAGATAGTCAGTGCTCAGTTCCTGGTGACAGTAGAAGTTACAATAATTGATTATCATTTTATGGTTATTTATCAGTCTCTTGGATCAGGATCAGAAGTGGAAGGAGACTTGGAAATCTAAGCTTGCCTAGTACAAAGCTTGGGGGGCTTGAACTACATGAACCAGTAGGGACAGGAATCACATCAGAATCTATGGAAACCTGATTCCTGGGGGTGGGAGAGATGACCAGAGACTGAGGAGCACGTGGGGATGTTGTGACAGGGATACGGTATTTTCAACCCTATTTCTGAAAGCCCTTGGCCCTGAGGAAATGTGCTCACATGTGGTTGGATCCCAGCCTGTGGGCGATAGGGACTGAGGAAGGGACACCTGGCAGAAGTCACAAACCCACACTCCTGCAGGGACCGGGTGGGAAGGGAAAGAGTGAAGCCGGTGTGGTGTGAGACGACAGGAAATGGTGGGAACTGTGGAGAACTGGATAGTGTATCCATTATCTGAAGGGGACAGCCATTGCTCAGCCTGTAGCAATGTGGGTACAGTGTTGCCACCACTTGCAATTTTTCAAAAGGAACCAGAAATTTACATATCAGCTGATATTTCATGATTTTTAAATATTTTCAAATCAACTAATTCAAATTTACAAGCTTGGTTTGTGAGCAGGGACTCCAGATTGTGACCTCGGAGCATGAAGGAGGACCCAGGCCAGGGACGGAGAGAGGCTGCAGAGGGCCCTGCCAGTGTGGCTTGGGGTGGGGCTGGTCTGACTGTGAAACAAGATGAAGGGAGGGATTGAGAGAGGTGGGCACTGCACCTTTGAATGGAATTAAAATAAGACCACAGGGAGAGTTCCAAGTTAGGGGCTATGAGGGGAGACCCAAAAAACCCCCAGACCTTATTTATAAAAAATTGTGCATTTATTCTTACATGTTTATACTTCAGTCACCTTCAAAGGACTCTCCATTTGATGCAATACACCGATCAAAACATTTTTTCCACTGCTCAAAAGTTTTTGAACGCATCAATTTTGATACCTTTTAGTGCTTCTGCTGTTTTTTGTTTCACCTCTTCGACATCGGCAAAATGTTTCCCTTCAAGGACTTTTTTAATCTGGGGAAACAAAAAACATAACTAGGGGTGAGGTCAGGTGAACAGGTAAGGTGGGGCCCAGGGGTCATACTGTTTTGGGGTCAAAGACTGCTGAATACTCAGCATGGTGTGGGTAGGTGTGCTTGTAAATCACCCGTGATGAAATGGGCAAATGCACTGAGAAAGTTGTCAAAAAACCTCACTGAAGCTGAATGTAGCCTCTCACAGCTCCACCAGCTGGCACACTGATACACATGGGTTCCTAGGACACTCACCTGGGTGGGAGAAGCCTGTACCACAAGGGGCCCGCCCTCCAGAAGATAATTCCACTTTTGGGGGGTCCCCCTTGTATGTGAATCCCCAAGCTCATTCCAGAGCGGCTCAGTATCTTCAGCCTCATAGTCTGGGAAGGGAATGCATTTTGGTTAAAGACAGAGCTGACGTGTAAGTGGTACCCACTGGCACTACTGTACCAGTTATGAAAGTATTGAAATACTGTTAACCCAGTTGGTAAATAGCCACTGGACCTGCTGAGTCTCCTCCTCATACCTCCCATCTATCCTCCTCCCCTTGCCATGGAGCTAGTAGCTTCTCCCCACCCCATCTCACTATGACCTGGCAATGTAAGAGTTAGCTCCCAACACAGCTAGGCCCTGTGGTCCATTCTGACGGGTCAGTGGGCAGTGCCTGAACCAAAGTGGTTGTCGGGATCAACCTCTCCACCGTCACTGCCGGTAGCACATGCCTACCTGGATTGGCTTAAGCACAAAGGAGAAGAATTTTTAGAGGACATGGGAGTCAGATGGAACTGGAGGGCAGGGCACCAGGTTCCTGAGGGACTGGAACTAGGAGCTCCGTCCCTGAGGTCATGTGAGCTTTGTCTTTGTTCTTCTCTGTTCCTTGGAGCCCACTGTAAAAAATAGCAACGTCAGTCCTGGGGCTGCATGTCTCCGGCACCTGCATCCCAGCCACTAAATATGTGAGACATTTGAACCAAATATCCACCTCTCTGCCAGTCACGTATGTCCAGGGGGAGTGGACATCTCAAAGTGCCAGCAGGCCCATCCCCAAGATGGCACTGGCCAGGGAGAGGCACAGAAAGGCACCCTGAAGGATTCCCCTGAGGATCATGGAGTCACGAGGACCCCAGTGTGGCTTTATTCCCGGCTGCCTTGGGTGGTAAGAGGTGAGGGGCAGAACTGATCACGGGACGACCTGCTTGGTCTGGGTGGTCTGAGGGGTTGGGGCAGTGGGTCAACGAGATTGACACTTACAGGTGTGGGGCCTCCTGAAAGCTGAGGCAGGGAGTAAGGCTGGAGGAGCCTGCAGCAGCCACTATGTAAACCATTAAAGAAAAGAACTTTCCCTGCTACTTGCTGGCCTTCCTCTCTCCTGGCTGGCTCTAAGTGGTCACGCACAGCTCTCTCCAAGTCATTTTCTTAAACACATGTACTTTCAGGGATGGTCAGTGGTTAGCAGTGTGATTGCAGCGCGCCCCCCGCCCCCTCTCCGCCAACACACACACATCCATCACAACTCACTGACCTCTTCTTCCGGCCGGCCACTGTGGGCAGTGCTGTGCTTGCCGAGGCGGGGAGCGCTGGGCAAGTCCCTGCACCTCTGGTCTCTCGGTTTCCTCATCCATAAAGTGGGGACAGTAAGTGGAATGTACTTCATGGGGCTATTTGAGGATTAAATAAGTTAATGACCGATTAATCCCTGGAATAGCTCCTGGCGTGAGTCAATGCTCAAGAAATGTTAACATTTACTCATTAAATATTTACTGAGCTCTTCCTATATGCCAAATACAATATATGCCCTGGGATATGATGGTGAGCAAAATTCCCTCATGATGCCTGCAATGATTGTCAGTTAGGGAATGTGTAAGATGCTATAATAAATAGCCCTTAAATACAGTGACTTAAATAAGACAGAAGGTAGGTTTTTCTCTCAAATGTCTGTCCAAAAGGATGAAATCCAAGGCTAGTTAGGATGGTTTTATTCTTTCCACACCTGACTCCAACTTTGGGTCCAAAGTGGTCACTTCCAGTTCTCATCATCTTCCAGCTAGTGTGAAGGGAAAAAGGGGGTGGGGGATGTTTATACATTCTTTTAGAGAAATTGATCCCACAGCACACATATCCCATTGGCCAGAACTCAGTCACTGGGGCACACCAGCTGCAAGGGAGGCTGGGAAGTGTGGTCTCTAACTGGGCAACTGTGCTCTCTACTAAAACTCAAGGATTCTATTATTAAAGGGAAGACTGGATATTGGTGAAAATCTACCAGTCTCTGCCGCAACCTATGGACTATTTATTGGACTTTGAACTCTGTTCTCTAGGAGATGAGGTACTAGCAAATGGCCCCATGCCCAGACTTGGGTTTTAGATCACTCCAGAAGCTTCCTCAGAGCATAAAAGGGGGAGGAAATAGAGCAAGTGGACTTGTTTAACTGCTGCGCCTGTCTGTTGCTTTGATTTGCTGTTGCTGGAGTCCTTGCTGCAGGCAGGAGCCAGTTGGCTGGGTTCTCAGATGGAGGCCTTGTAGGAACAGTGAGTGCTGGGGCTGGAATGGGAGCCACCCGCTTCTTATTCATCCATTCAACCAGGGTTTATCAGGCACCGTGTCTGGGCACAGGGCTCCAGTGATGGCCCTGACAGGTGTGATGAGCGCTGGGGGCCAAGTTCAGTTCTGGGTGCATTCTCCGGTGACACCCAGTACAGGGTGAATGCTGGCATGCCACACTGACCCTGGCCTCTTCTGTCTGCTTCTCTTGGCCTTAGGACCCCCGGAGCAAACACAAGTTTAAGATCCATACCTACTCCAGCCCCACATTCTGTGACCACTGTGGGTCCCTGCTGTATGGACTCATCCACCAGGGGATGAAATGTGACAGTAAGTACATTTGCTCTTTGACAGCTGGGCTGCTTCCTCCTGGTTTGGGGTCCAAGTCTGAAGAATGTTCTCTCAAGACCTGAGTAGGCTGGTGTGCCGATTGTATGTTGCTGAGTAACGATCCTCTCACCCCAAAATACAGTGGCTGAAAACAGGAACTATTTATTTAGCCCATGATTCTGCAAGGCAGTCCTTTGGGTCTGGGCCCGGCTTACTCATGCAAGTGTGGAGGGTTAACAAGTTGGCTGGGGGGCTGTCTTGGCCTGGATGGCTTTGCCCATCTGTCCAGAAGGCTGGCCGTCATTTGGGTGATGGGGATGTTGGGGCCACATGTCTTTCCTCCTGAGTAGGCTAGCCTGGGCTTGCTCACACAGAGTTTGCAAGGTCTCAAAGCCTTTAAGGGAGAAAGTCCCATTGATTGAAGCAGGCCACAGGGCAAGGTTCATAGTCAGTGTGGGAGGGGACAGTTCCCGGATGTGGACACAGGGAGGGGTGGACAGATCAGGGCCATTGCAGGGCTCTTGCATTCTGGGGGGGGTAGTGTGACAGCTGGAGAAGCCTTTTCATCATGATGTGTAGGTTCCATGACCTCTCTGCATGGAGAAGACCTGCCCCCCCTCGACATGCATAGGTTCATGCTAGAAGAGGATAGAGACTGATTCTCTGCCAGGCTGAGGTGGGAAAAGGCGGGTGAGGGCAGGGCTGCTCTTTATTAAGCAAAGGACTGAACGGCTGGTGCGGGGGGGTGAGCGGACTTTGAGAGCATTGGCTGCAAAGGGACAGGGGACTCAGTGTGCCGATGGCTCCCAAAGTCCTGTTGGCCTGCAGCAGGCTGAACTGTCACGGGGCCCTGAGATGCCAATGACAGAAGATGTTCACAGGGGCAGAGTGACAGGGAAGAGTGCGAGCATGGGTGGGCTGGAAGACAGAGACAGAGAGACACGCGCTCCAGCATGCACAGGCAGGTGCAGGGGATGGACAGCACACACGCGCTGAGGTGCAGGGAGAAATGGGGCGAAAGCTACAGAGGGCTCAGCGAGAGAGAGACTTAAGCAAGAGGAGGGACAGGCAGAGTAACGGACAAAATTACTGGGAGTGACACAGGCTCATGCAGGGGCACAGAGGCGGAGAGAGACCAGGAGGAGGCAGAGACAGGGTCCCTGAATCATATAACACATGTGACAGCAACTGGTTAGATTCCGTGTAAAGACATGTTTCATTCCTCTTGCCTGCATCTACATATTCCCTTGTAACTGGTTATATGAATACTATGGGGGCTCCACTCAGATCCTCTTCCGGGCTCTTTCTCCCCCATCTTGCACCCCGCTGCGGTGGGTTCACGCCTGCACCCCTCATGGGAATGGCCCTGGGGTCTCTTCCAAGATGGTGCCCCTCCCAGGGGGTGGTTCGTGGCCAAAGCTGGCTGATGTGGGCATACAAAGGCCCAGCTCTCTTGTCCCAACTGGGGACAACTCTGGAGGGTCATCTGAGCCCAGGACCCCCTTAGGGTCAGCCTCGGTGCATCCTCAGCTCCTCCCTCCTGGGGCACGCGCCATAAACTTGCTCAGAGCTCCCCTTCTCAGACTCTTTCTAGGGAACTCAACCTATTAGGTATCAATATTTGAAAATCAGGATATGTCACATGCAAATCAGGGTTCCCATTTATCTTCACAAGTAGGAAGCCCTGGCTGCCTAGGCCACACACCTCCCACAGCGGAGCCTGAGTTGGGTAGCTGGGTTGTCAGGTCAGCCAAGTCCTGCCACACGCACATCTTCCCTCACTTGTGTCACCTGCGACCTGGCATTGAAGTTGGTGATTCTGGCTTTAGAGCCCATGGGGATGTGTGGGGTGCACCCTTCACCTTTGATAGGATGGACACGTCCCACTTCCTCTGCCCTTCAGGGCCTGGGGGCAGGGGGATAGTTGGAGAAGGCTTTCAGATGTAACCTGGGTAGGCAGGCTTGTTTTGGCCAAATTTGGGGGTCTCAGGTGCCTGGAGGGGAAGGAGGGGAAGAGAGGGTCCCAACCTGCCTGAGTGGGGGCAGAGACCGGTGGCATCAGCCCTGCCAACTGAGCCTTGCCCTCTCTGCCCTCCAGCCTGCATGATGAACGTCCACAAGCGCTGTGTGATGAACGTCCCCAGCCTGTGCGGCACAGACCACACGGAACGCCGAGGCCGCATCTACATCCAGGCACACATCGAGAGGGACGTCCTCATCGTGGTTGGTAAGTGGCCCCGTGTCAGGCGAGGGGAGGCTGGCGGAGGGATGAGACTGTGTGATGCTGCCTCCGGCTCCTGCATTACAGCCCTTCCCTGCTGCAGGCAGCCCTAGAAAGGCTCTGGGCACCTCAAGGTGGCTGAGCTGAGAACTCCCCCCCGCCCACTCCTCCCCTTCCTTTCCTATTCCTTTCAGTATCTTAGGAGCATGCAGTTCTAGTTCCTTTATTAAGATAGCAGAGAAGGGATGCTGGGTTCTTTCCCAAATGGTTCCAGTGGGAAGAATAGAATCTTGATGAGAAACGCCTAATTTGGGAGAGTGTTGCCCCCCTGGGGAGGAGGACAGTGCAGTGTGCACCCCTGGGAACTTTCCGTGTATTTGAAGTATTTCTTTCTTGCACCTGATGGTGCCTACACTGGTCCCTGGTATAGTATTCTCTATACTTTTGGTACTTGTGAAATGTTTTGTAATAAGAAGAAGGGATGCTATGGCCTGCTGGAGAGGTGCAGTGAGACTGGGGAGTGGAGGGCAGCGTGGTGTCTGCCATTCACCATGCTGGGCCGTTCCAGAAGCTCCTGCCTCTGACCTAGGAGCTCGGGCAAAGTGGAAAGCCAGCTGCAGTGCACTGCTAAATATGCTGCTGTAAAGCTGAGGCCGAACTTAACATTGAACTGGCTGAGAATGAGATATTATAGCTAATTAACATAATTAAGGTTTTATGACTTTTGGTAACTTAGAAAATTGATCATGGAAGGGATTGATTTGCAAAAACTGGTCTGTTTCTGGGCCCAAAAGTGGTTCTGCAGCTCTGATTTGCTCAGCCCTGTGCTGGGAGGGGCCTTACCTGAAATGCATGGAAGTTAAAAAAATATCCCCGTAAAAATATAATCCCTGTTTTAAATTGAGGTTTGTGACACCCAGTGAGCATTCGTTGAATTGCTTTTTCCTCTAAAAGGAAGGCACGTGGCTGACGTCCTCCCACCGGGATACTTGGAAGTTCTGGGAGAGAATCCTTCAGTCACTTGTTCAAAAGTAGCTGGTTTTCCCCATTGACTAGGCATTCAGGTGCTGAAGGGGCAAACATGAGACCCTTCTGCCATCTACTGTCATATTCTAGGAACTACACAGGCTCAAATGTGTTACTGGAACCTTTCTGCAGGCCATCGTTTGTTGCGGTAGTCTGCATTGATGGAACTCACTGAATGAACAGTGCTCCAAACCATGCTTATCATGACATCCTCAAGGTTCATCCATTGTTCCCACTGCAGAAAAGAAATGATAATTATGGGACATGATGGATGGCAGCAATCATATTGCAATCTATAAATGTATCAAATTCATACATTGTACACCTTACACATGTACACAATGTTATGTGTCAACTTTAAAAAGCATACATGTTATCTTTTCCATTACCCACAACAATCTTGTGAAATATCTGTTATGCTCATTTTATGAAGCTACTGAGGCTCAGGTTAGTTATGCTTCCAGGAGCTTACTCCAATAATAATAACAATAATACAACAGCCAACCTTTGAGTTCTTAACGTGTACAAAGCACTTACAAGCAGTCTCTTTCAGTGTTTTTCAGTAACTCTGCTGAGCTAAGGAGTAGTATTCTTCTACCCTTCAGGAAGCAGGCTCAGAGAGTCACACACTTGGTCATGCAGGTCTGTTTGGCCCTTAAGTATAATACACTAGGTTACTGTTTAGTTTAGGTCCCTAAACGGACACACACGCCATCCCTTATTTACCCCCTTTGTGGTCTAGCTAAGTTACCTCTTATGGATATTCCTTGGGGAGTCTTAGTTCCATCTGGTGCAATACAATGTTCCTTCAGTTTCAAGGTCAAAGTCTTCCCCTTCATCACATATATGCTCTGGCTGCTGGTCCTCAAGCAGTCCTAGTATATGCCTATGAATATTCATTTCCTGATGCTGTGCTAACAAAATACAAACCAGATGGTTTAAAAGAACAGGTATCTATTCTCTAAGTGTTCTGGAGGCTAGAAGTCTGAAATCAAAGTGTTGGCAAGGCTGGTTCCTTTTGGAGGGCTCTGAGGAAGAGTCTGGTTCATGCCCCTCTCTTAGCCTGGTGGTTACCACCAGTCTCTGGTGTTCTCCAGTCTCTCCCTGCATCATCATGTGATAGTCTTTCGTGCATGTCTCTGTGTCCAAATTTCTTCTTATAAGGGCACCAGTCATTGGATTAGGGACCCACCCTTACCTAGTATGACCCTATCTTAACTTGATTACACCTGCAAAGACCCTGTTCCAAAATAAGGCCATATTTATAAGTGCTGGGGTTAGGACTTGAAGTGAGGGGCATAATATCTTCATGCTCAGAATTTTTGATAGCATTAATTGATAGCTGTAAGCATTGTAATCACACTTTGTAGTTCTCTAAGTACTTTGACGTTGGAACATCCAATAGAGGTCATGTGTTGCCATCTCATGGAAGGGGAAACTAAGACTCGGTGAGGCTGAACAACTTACCTGGTGTCACATGCAGCACCTGGGCTTCCTGACTGCAGGTCACTGTGCCCTGCTATTGCTCCTTCACCAGGCTGAGCACAGTCAGTACTTGGCACAGGCTTGTTGATTGATTGATGATGGAAGAACCTCATGATTTGACTGTTGTTCTCTAAAAATAGAGCCAAGATGGACATTTTTGTCCCAAGTGATTTATTGGGCCTGCTCCTGGGGGGAAGAAGAGGGAGGACAGAGCAGGGAGAGGCAAAGTGAGAGTATGATTTCTGCTGAAGACTGGCCTTAGCCTGGTGCCATGGAGGTCTGGGCCCAGCATCCAGCACAGAGTCTGCCCCTCCTGAAGGCCAGAGGGCCGTTCCATGAGGATCAGTCAGTGCTGTGGACTGAATTCTGTCTCCCCAAGTCACATGTTGAAGCTCCACCCCCTGTGAAATGGTATTTGGAGATGGGGCCTTTGGGAGGTAATTAGGGTTAGATGGGGGCTCTCATGATGAGATGAATAAGTAGCTTTATAAGAAAAGGAAGAGAAAGAGATTCTCTCTCTGACATGTGAGGGCATAGCAAGAGCCAGAAAGCAGGTTCTTACCAGGAACCAAGTTAGCCCGCACCTTGATCTTATTTTTTATTTACTGATTTTAGGCAGAGAGAAAAGAGAGGAAGGGGGATGCGGAGAGAGAGACAGACAGACATCCATTTGTTCCACTTATGTATGCACTCATTGGTTGATTGTTGTATGTGCCCTGACTGGGGATTGAACCTGCAACCCTGGAATGCTAGGGCACGCTCTAACCAATAGAGCATACCTAGCTACCCTGACAGGACCTGCACCTTGGTCTTAGCCTTTCAGCCTCCAGAACTGTGAGAGACAGAAGTCTGTTGTTTAAGCCTCCTAGTTCATGGTATTTTGTTACAGCACCCTGAGGTGACAAAGACAGTCAGTCTGCGCTGCAGGTTGCTGGGGTTAGAGGTGGGAGGGTGGGGTTACCTCTCAGGCCACGTGGCTTCTGTGTGAGTGAGAGCGATTATCTGGACCTGGGAGCAACCATGAACTATTAACATCCAGCAGTCAGAGCACGCAGGGGATGTGTTCATCGGCTGGCGGGGAGGGAGCTGGGCAGGGCGCAAGACACCTGGCTATCCCTTTGATCTCCCATACGTACTTCTGGCTCCGTGGCTGGGACTTCAGGTCCCTCCTCCTTGATCTCAGCCAGACAGATCAGAGAGCTAAAGACTAAACGGGATCCTTCCCAGCAGTTCCAGGCCAGAAGTGGCCTGTAGTGTCTATTGAATCTCCTCCCTTCATGCAGATCTTACAGGCATGTTCATTGTTGAGACTTTCCACTCAACAGCCCAGGATACTTGGCCATTTGCTCTGAATGTATGTGCACCTTGGAAATGCCATCCCATCTAGACGCCGCAGCAGGCTGTAAGTGCTTCTGAAAGGTCTGCTGATTTTCTCAGATGTCCTGTGGCTACTGAAATCCAGGCTTTGTATCTGCTGTCAGGGGTCTTGCAGGTCAGCATTAGAGTTGTACTCTGATGAGCTCTTCTTTGAAAAATTCATGACTGGTTCTCATTGCCCCTAGGATGGTCGATCTGCTGTGGTGGTCTTATAGTCTAGTCTCTGTCTCTTCCCCTTTTTCTTCTAGTCCTTTATCCTCTGCTGCCCACCAGTGGGATGTCTCTTAGCCTGCTCCCTCAGTCTAGATGTTCATCTTTGCCCTCATGTTTCCTTCCAGCAGTCAACTCTGTCTCTTCCTTAGGCCTCAAACTCATTTTCACCACCAGGGAAGCTTCCCCCAGCCTTCCCTTACTGTAGGTGCTCATGGTGTCCTGAACTTCAACTGTGTCAGTCGTGTTTGTGTGTTGGGTTGGTTAGTGTCTGCTTCCCCCACTGGGCTGTAAGCACCGTGAGAGCAGGCCTGTGTCTGCTTCGGCTCACCACTCTTTCCCAGCACCTAGTATGAGGAGCATCATTGACTGTGGGTGATAGGTTTGTGCGAATGAAATACCACTTGAGGATACTGCTAGATACCACGACTCCACAAACGATCCCCAGATCACTGCCTTCTGAAGTGAGGAGCTGAAGTCCAGCAGATAAAATGTTTCACATCATTATTCTTACAGGAAGGAGACCATGCAGAAAATCTTACGGACTAGGTCCAAGATCAACATCAAATGTTAGTAGGATTAGGAGCCAGCCTCTGGAGCTATGACTACCCTTACTCCTCGGATAACGTAGAAAAGACACAGAGCAGTGGAACTTGTAGAACCGTAGGAAACCATATGGACATCATGAGGCCCAGTGGGATTATAAGAGCAGGCCACGTGGTGTCAGAAGCACAGGTCAAAGTTGTAAAGTTGATGAAGCCCATGGCCTTGCACATGTTACCCCCTTGCAATCCAGTGTCTCCTGTTAACATAGCAACTGGCATCCCATCATTCCCATTCCCATCTACATTACGGCCAGCTGCAAATCCTTAACCATAGCCATATTCATACCCGTAATTATATCTTAC